ATGATAACAGGCTGTCACCGAGTTAACTGGTTTCTGAATTCGAGAACGGCTACTTCTAACATCAGCAAGGATTGTGCCATCTTTTCTTACTGTGCATCTAAATCCGTTCTAAATCTTGATCTCCCATTTCTATAGCCATAACTTGATTCCTTTTGTGACCTTCTGCCAACCGATGCTCTTCCGCTCCTGTTTGATCTGTCCCTGTACGCTCAGGACACACCCGAGAAACTGTCTCACGGCCCTGGGAACCAGCCTGTGCACCTCGTGCTCCTGGGTGTTGGCGCCAGAACTATTCCTGTATTTCCTCATGCCCAGCGCCTTCTCCGTCACTTCAGGGAATTCCTATTACTGAGAAAACTACCTGCTTCACTTTGAGTTTCAAGCACAGAAAATTGCTCTGTCACACTCCCATACAGAGGATATGTTTGTATTATTCCTAAAAACAACTTGTAGTTAATAAATAACTATAGTTGTGATTATTGTACACAACAAACATCTCCATTCTATCAAACAGAATATTTGTCAGGGAGTCTCATTCAGCTTCTGACCAACAAATACACACAATCATATGTACTGTACATACAGTTTATCAACTGTGAAACTGCGGGACTGAGAGGCAGGTTACCGTAAATAGGCCCTGAAATAAGTGATCCTTTAGCATCATATGTTAACTCTTTCTGTCTGGTTGAAGGACTGATGTGACAGAACGGTTGCCGAATTGTGAAGTAAAAAGTAGGTCACTGTGGCTCAATGAGATGATCCTCAACTACAATTGAGAAGATTCGTTTCAGGATCTCTGGTGCGTTTCCATGGGATCCTGTTGTCCCTTTCTTGAATGTTTTGAAAAAGACTGAGCTTTGTATGTACTCCTGATTGTTATACATAGTCAGTCCATGATTTTATTCTTATCTTAACAAGAAAAGTGTAAAAAGGTTCAAAAAGATCAACCTTTTTGGCCATTGTCTCACTGTTGGGTTTTTAGTCTTTTATGTTTTTTGTGTTGCTTTCATGCGTCTTAGTTTTTCTTAATCTTGTTAAAATTTTCAACATTTCTTAAATAAAATACTTTACAAAGTACTAGTCAGAGTATGCATTTAGAGTGGACAAAGACGTGATCAACTTCAAACCCAAACAGTATGACAACAGACGTGGAACACCACATAACTGTAAACAAACATTGCTTTAAACAATGGTTACCATTGTCAAAGGTCCCTTACTCCTAAGACTGGGTGTGTTTTTTCAGAGATAATTGTTTAGTCTGGTTTCCTTTTTGTAACTTTTTCTCCTGTGACATTTCCTTCTCGCTAACCTTTTCGAACAAGCTGTTCTCCAGATTCAGTTTTTTTGTTTCGCTTGTGTTTTTCTTCATTCTGTATGCCAATAAAACAGAGTGCTTCTTTGGAATTTACCACTACTTTAGTGCGGAAGGATCTGAAACTTGTCTTAAAAGTGTCTTTCAGGTACTGTAAGAGAATTTATAATTATAGTAGAAACTCATTTCCTGATAACAGACATCTACAGTAAGTGATATAAAAAAGTATCTCTGCGAATCTTAACCTGGTATCACATATGAACTTTGGTGCTTCCCAGCACCAAAGCAAAAACCAAACTTTTTTCAAACAATATTATTTGTGTGTAAAAACGTTTTCTCCAAGAACTGCCTAAAACAATTTGTTTACCATATACAGTATGAAATATATGCAAGTATCCTAAGTTTTATATTATTTAGCATCAAACGAGACTCATCACTTCAGTTCACAAAGTTATTATCAAGAAAATTACAGAATCTGTTTTGTAGCAGGCGCTCTGACATTTTATCGAAGACAAGACAACACAGGTAAGTTCCTTATATTGATTCCTGTTTTATCATCAGCTGTGGTGATCAACAGAAGGGCTCCTGTGATATGAAAGTCACAGGGTCACAGTCTAAGGATGACCCACAGCACTGACATCAAGTGAGGTCCCAGGACTTCATCAGCGTAGGGCTGTGCAGTCAGGTTGCTAAACATACTGAAACACACAAAGGCATCGTTCTCTTGATCAGATGGCTGGTCTGATTCCTTTCTGTGTTTGTTTCTTAATTTTCAGCAGATTAATTTAACTCATCTCCAGTGCCCTTTGGGCTCTCAGTCAATGATCAATTATTGAAAATGACTCCAAAATCCCAGATTCGATAAGCAAAACACTGATTGTTTTTTCTCTAAACAAACGTGCATAAACTGAGAGCTAAAGCTTATTTTATTTCTCATTATACTAGAAAATACCCAGTCAGTGCATGTCAAACACACATCACAACTGCAGATGTGAAATGCAGGTGTAATTGTCAGGATAGGGTATGTGATCTCCAAATCTGCAAATTATACATCCCTTTCTACTGCATGTTTTCTCATGCTAATCGCCAGAATGCTTACGTTGTCCCTATCCTGACAGTTCACACAAACAATTACATCTGTTTTCAGAATTGTCTACTACATCTCTCCAGTTTGTCCCTATTTAAACCTTTGCAAGGACAGATTTTGCATTTTGATCTATTTCTATTAGGATAGATTTTCTATGTTGAACAAATCCGAATGTTTCTGACTTTTCACAGGTTTCTTGACCTCTTTTATGAGGTAATAAATCACTGCTGCATAGCTCAAACATGCTATTCATGCATACAAATATTTTAGATAGACTGTCATGAAATGGGTAAGACATTATATCATCTGAATTTTCTCTTCCACTGATGATAACATACACTGTATTTAAATGTGTTGACTGCATGCTTCCTTCTACATTCCTAAATGTAAAATATACTGTCGTTAAGGCTTCTGAAGCTGATTTACTGTACATATTTTTTGCTGAAATATTTAGTATGGAATACAATAATATAAACAGAAATTACAAAGGCAAAATACACAGAAGGCTGTAAAACAAATCAAGAAACCTCGGAAAAAGAAAACAAGACTTAAAAAAGGAAATTATAATGGAATAATAGAGCAGCTTCCTCTTCAGTCTTCAGAAGTTAGATTTATACTCTCAAGCCCATAGCTCTCAAAGGATCTGGCCCGGTGATGATATGTGTTGCAGAATAAGTCTTACATTCAAATACAGTCCAAAGATTGTCCACAACCTACTGCTGCAAGGAGCATTTTATGGATTGAAGCAGCTGAACTGATCTGTTGATCTGTTGATCCTGGAATCGGTAATGTCTGGTGTCAGATTAAGAGAATATTCCGTGGTCTATTAGAATGTGTATCAGTGTTGGTAAATTCAGTGTTTGAGAATTCCATGTGAATTTCTCAGATATTTAAACTTACTGATTATCCCCTTGATCTTGAAAATATAGTGCTGATTAGGTGAACTGGAAAACCCAACACTAATATATGTTGGAGTTCAAATACACTTAAGGTTCTCTACACATAAGAAACAAAAACAACCATTTTTAACAATATGGCCATCTGTTCTAAAACCTAACCTGTTGTAAATATGAAGACAATGTGGCAAGGCCCTGTGCATGTTAGGCTGGATTCTACATGGTCGACAGATAAACTCATTGTGACTATAGAACTGCACAACATCACTGCATAGCTATAGAAATGACCTTCCAGATGCCTCTGTGCTGCAGACCCTATTTGCAAAGCCTGCAATGCAACACTATTGTTCAGTTTTCAGCCTACAATATGCACTTTTAATCATTCTAAAAATGACAGTGCTCTAATATGTATCGGTAAAAGCTTAAACTGCCATCCAAAAGCCATCAGAGAAAAAAGTACTTTTGTGCGCGAGACATAATTTGATCACATTTTACATAAAGCAATATTGCTATTAATATGCCATAATACATACAGTGTACTGCAATAAACTAAATGATGATCAACTGATCATCATTATATCACCACTTCCAATAATTTAATTGAATCCATCCATCCATTTCTAACTGCTTCATCCGATAGAGGGCCGCAAGGGAGCCAGAGCCTATCACAGCAAGCAACAGGCACAAAAAGCAGGATAGACCCTGGATTGGACAACTGTCCATCACAGGGCACGCACAAACACAAGCACAGACACGCACACACACACACCAGAGCCCATTTTCCCAGAAGACAATTAACCCACCAGCATGTCTTTGGCCTATGGGAGGAAACCAGAGCACCCCATAGCAGCCTACGCAAAAATAAGGAGAATATACAACCAGATAGCACCCCAGGAATTGAACCCAGTGCCTCAGCGCTGGGAGGCAGTAATACCTAATTTAATTGAATGTTTTGAAACAATACATACAATCATTCCAATTAGAAAACAGCATTCCAAAAAGGCTTGGTAAATGTTTAAAAAATAAATGTTTTGCTGAGGTTGAAAGTTGGTAGAAAACAGGAAAGAAAAAATTGAGTGTGGTGATACTTATTGCCACCGAGTAAAAATGAATGCCAAGGGTCTGTGTTTCCGGTCTAAATATTATTTTAAATAAAATAATTCTATAGGGATATAGCTTTATATTTAAACTTCAGCGACGATATATTTTTAAAAACTTTCTTATTTTGCAAATCAATATCTATTAGAATTTTTCAAGCAGTTTCAATTTGTACTTAAGGCCATTATTTTAAACCCATATTAAAATATATATATATATTGCACCTGATGTAGGACTTCTGCTGTAAATGTATTTACAGACATACTTGTCTGAACAGTATGCATCAGACATCCATTTATGATCTATGTATAAAATATTCAATCCTGTGCACCCAATTAATGTTCTGAATGCATTATTTTGGTGCAAAGTCGCCTGGTTTCACCGCAAAAATGAAAGAGAGCGTTAAAGATTTAAGTATTAATTCATTTCGTGATGCAAACTGTTCGACAGCTTACGAGTCTGGGACTGATTCTATCTTACCATGATGCTTCCGAAAAACAGCAGCACAGGCAGCATTCAGTGAAACAGCAATGCCACACAAACACAGAGGGGGGTCAGGATTTCAGACACTGCTGAGGGCCAGCAAAGGCAGAGTAAGGGAACTTACCCAGTGTTTGAAGTAAGAAAATCACCCAAGGGCTGTGTGTCACCTTGGTTACCGCTGCCAGCTTTTCTCCTTTGGTTGCTTTCCCTGCATTCATTGTCACTGAAGTAGCCCTTTGCCGGTGCCTGCCTGCTGTAAAAGTAGGCCCCTGTGTCTGTTTCATATCCGTTCGCTGTTCCATGACCAGACCTGTTCTCTACGATTTCATGGTGGCAATCGGCGTAGCGATTCTCGTTGGATGAAGAAGCGGTTTTGGGCAATTTGTATCCATGAGAAATCAGGAGATCCTCCACGCTGTACATGTTGTTTTGTTGCTCTTGTAGTGGTGAGTGTGATTTTCTATGCACAGCACTTCGGGCTGGAGCAAAAGTGTGCAGCAGAAGCCATCACTGGGAAAACAGGAGGAAACAGAAGAAGGTAGCATTAAAGTGATGATCGCCAATATCCTTCCCTGTGAGGACTGACAGGCAGGACTGCAAGAAGAGAACAAAATCCCACATTTTACCCCTGCAACGGTCACACAGCCAGACTGCTCTCCCCCATGCCATTCAGCCCCATGCAGATGCGGTTTCGATCTGACTGATGTATTTAAGATCCTAAACTGCTCATGAAGGCTTGTCAAAATCCTATCGATATTTTTTGTACTTTTCCCACAGATATTAACTCCCGGCTTTTCCAGCCCAGAGGCAGCTGCAGAGAGCTGCTGACTCAGAGGGTTTGGAACATCAGTAGTTGGGATTGGGATGGCAGCTTTTAGATGTTACGCAGACAAGTCTTCACGCAGGCTCGCGGGCTTTTCGTAAAGGTTGTCCCTCTGAATCAAATCTAATCTGATCAAAAACGAATCACGTTGAAGTGTGAACTCCATGATATTCACGATGAAGTGAATGGAACCCCTTCTGTGAGTGACAATGTCTGCGTTCTGTAATGATTACCTAAGAAAGCTTAAAATTGAGTGAGTCAAATATCCGGCACACTGTAAACTTTTCCCAGGAAAAACTCAAGTGTGAAGTGGAACGAAACCACATTACTTCAAAATAAAAAAAATAATAACCTTGTTTATATTTAGATATAATGGATTTGTGGAGTGTTTACAGTCAACCACTCAGATAATACCCCAAATAATCTGTGTATTACAACTTGCCATCGGCTTTAGTATTTCATAACTTCAACATGCAGAGCTGATTTTTTAGTAGTTATTACTTTATAAGTCTATGAATACCTAAGAAAAGTCTGCTTTTTAGCATATTTTAAAAAATCATCAAGGTTATCATTCATATTGCAATATAATGAGCAGAATAAGTATCCTTCCACATTTACATCTATATTTAAGTTCCTATTACATAAATACACATAACAGTTTTCTCAAAAGCAGTGAAATGGAAACTTTTAGACTGCCAGCACCGAACACCAACGAGCACCTCAACCTGCTAGGTCTCAGTGGGTTTTAATCAAGGTTCAAAGGCAGTTTTAACAGTAAGGAAACAAAGTGCTCAGCTAGTAGCCCCCTAACTGTGGACTTTCTTTCCTAAGTGTATGCCAGAGAATTTAATACGTTAAGGCTTTTAAATTAAAACTTTAAACCTATTAGCACTGGAGACTTTGGAGATTTGACCTTTAACCTTCAGTTAGAGACTCCAGTGCTTTTCATGGAGCATTTTTCTTTAGTTTTTCAGTCCTGTGGATATATTTAAAAGTTAATCAAAATAAAGAAATAACTGTACATCACAAACATTGCAAGAACTGAACACCAAGGATTTTGATTTAAAAATGTTTTTTGTTTTTGCCCGCTCTGTATACTTTGTACAGTACAGTATGCCAATTTTATTGGAGGTTTGATAAAAGCAGTACATGTTTTACCTCCTACATGAAGTTAAGTACTTTAACAGATAACAGGAATACAACAGAAACCATAGAGGATGGTATGGCTAATCCTATTATGTCACAAAAGTTGACTTCTATCCTTCTCTATCTTTACCACATCATTGTTCCTGTCTAACAAAGGTTCCTAGTTTGACACCTTGGTTGCAGGTGTTTGTGACACAATTCCAAAGACAGAGTTAAAAAAACTTTGGAGTTCAAAGCTTTAAGGCAAATGAAGATCAGTTTTTAGCTGTTCTGTCACTGTTAATAATGTCAACTACTGTTCTCTAGAAACAGTACAGTAGGTGCTCCACAATTCACTGCTGTTTCTGACCCTGTTGATCCTACATCAGCAGCTCAAACAAAGCCCACTTAAAACACTCCCAAATCCCTTATGCAATGGAATTACATGCTCATATAAAACCTATGGCAGAAAAATCCTGCCTTCAGCAAAGGAACATTACACTTGTTAGATTATGTAAAATGACTGTAAGTAAGCTCCAGCATACAGTATTTTAGAACACATAACATTGTAGTAAGTTTCTAGAATATTTAACATTGAGTTAAGAATACTTAACATTAGGCATAAGAGAATGTTGATTCAAAGCTTATTAAACTATTTGTTTAATACTTACATTGATTTACATTTCGGTTTTCTGGGACTAATCAACTGTTTTCAGATAGTCCAAAGGAATTATCCAATGGAATTTAAGGTCCAATATCTGACTTGAAATAAAGGTAATAAATTAAGCACCACTTTTTGGAATATGAAACCACGCTCGCGCAGAATTTCAGCTTTCAAAGCTTATCTGTATCGTGTTAATGAGCCGTGTTAATGCTGCTTTGAGCACATACTGTACTGTATTGACAGCCCCAGCAATTCAAGGAGGCTGTTTTTGAGTCCTGCCGGGGACTTGCGACTGCAGCTCCATGTCACGAAAGCGTTCTTTCCGGACCCTATGCAGACGACACAATCCGGGGTTGACTGAGGAAACACTGGGAAAAAGTCATGCAGGATACGGGAATAAAAACAGGGGTGCGTGTCTAAGGAGTGCTGGTGGTCGGGGAGGGTGTAGCGAGGCAAACAATCCGGGGACGAGTCCAAAGAGAAGTCCAAAAACAAGGCAAAAGTCCATGGCCAGGAGATCCATCCAAGACAGGAGATTAAAAACCAGAACCGGGTCGGGACCGGCAGGGGAAACTGGAACAGGAACAGAAACTTAAAAGCATGACGGAGCCAGACGTATCCAGGACCCGGGCTCGCATGATACGGGAACCAATGCAGAGCCCAGATTAGCATCTGTGTCTGGCTTTTAAGGGGGAACTGAAAAGGGGATGGAACAAGGAACAGGTGCGGGGAATGAGGCAAACAAGGAAGGGCTGGAGCGCCCTCAAGAGGAGGGGTTTGCGATCGTGACACTCCACTACAAAGTGTTAGATACACACCGAGCAGTGCTCAGAGATGAGTCCTGGTGGCTTGAAGGGTGTGACTGCAGAGAGTTACAGTACCGGCATCCCACCACCAGAGGGCACCTACACGGTTGTGGCCTTCTTCCTCCATTCAGGGGAGGCGTAGGTGAACCAGGCCTCGTTAACCCATCGCCACGCCTCCCCTTCAGCCTACTTCAAATCCTGCTGTCTGTTTCTACCCAGCTCAGTTGGGGGTTAAATCTTGTGTCACATCAGAGCCTTCTCGTAACTTGACTGCTTCCTTGTTTATGGACTTTTGGATAGGCTACTTGACCTATCCTGGAACCTGTTCTGGATGTTGAAGATTTGTTGCTGGTTCTGGCTTTTGGACCTTCTCGCTTTCCCTTTTGACCACGATTTCTGATCGCCCTGTTAACGGCTTCCTTGTTATCGCGTCACCCGCATAGGGTCCATCTATTTTATTTTACTTGCTGGTCCCCAGCGTAACAGGGAGTACAAAAAGCTTTACAGGCCACTTGGGCTTTTTTTTTTATCCCTAATCATGCTAAGTTTGATTTTCTGTAAAACTGCTGAAAGTGAAGTTGGATGCTCCACTGTTGTTTTCATCATGGAGAACAAAAATCCTATGAAATCCTAGACACACCCTTTTATCTAAAAATGCTTAAATCCCTGAGTTCCCACCATCTAGCTCTTGGAGAGGAGCGAAATAGATGGCATGCATGGTGACTAATGCCAGACCATGTCCTTTCACATCGGCAAGGTGCCACCCTGGCTTATAACACTGCAAGCTCAGCTCACAGGTGCCCAGCAAGACCAGGGTTCACAGAAAACCTGGGCTGTGTCTAATAAGCACAGCAGTAAGCAGTGGTTCTAGGAGGCAAAGGCAGCTCTTACTAAGCGGTTTATTAAGGAAGGACAGAGACTGCTTTCAGACAGCTCTGGACAACAAGACAGCAAGAATTCTCCAGAAGGACAGAAAGGGGTGAAACTGATGGCATCAGTGCTAATGTATAATATAAAATATTTCTATGGACCAAAGTAAATTAAAACAAATTTCTAGGATGTTTAAAGCCCAAGAGTCCTATTGTTTATGTTTTTCTTAACAGCTGAGACACTTAAGCTGACTTGTCACGTCTCCCTTTTCACAGGAGAGACAGGCCCAGTGATGCAAATTCACAGGCTGCAGGTACATGTTGCAAAGTGATCTAGGCCAACAGAAAACATCCCCCAAAAACTTGTTGAACCCTGGTGAACATTATACTCTCCCAGTCCAGGTGGTGGTCAGTCAGTCAGGTATCTCCCAATTAGCGCCCGATTAAAATGTGGAGAATGCATCTCATTTCATTATCCTATCCTCTTAATTAGTTCAGTGAAGTCACCAAGGTAAGGTGAGATAGGAAGAAAAGCAGAAACAGTGAGAACCATCAGGACTATGGTTTTCTGCCTGTGACTGAGGCATCCCTGGTCAAAGTCAGGAAATGAAAAGGCTCACATCCAGCTACTGAATATCTGGGTGGCTTCCTGTTCTTGTCCTTGCAGACAGTGAAGTTTTAAAGGAATCAAGAAAAAAAGAAAACCAACAAAGAAGCAATTAAACCATTTTCTTACATACAGTAAATATTCAGGAGCCTACAAGTGGGAAATATAGTCAACAATGACAACATCTTATATACAGTAAAAGCTTACATAAAAGGAAATTAAAAGCTCATGCGAAGTTGCAGAAATACTTGCTCTACAATGGGCAGAAGGAAAGTTATTGGGCCTCAAAATTTTTCTTCTGGCAGATTTCTGAATTTTACGCAAAACAATAAGTTTATATATTTACTCTTTAATCAAAAACGGGTCATGTTAAATGTCAGAAATGCCTTTGAACGATTTCTACAAGCACAACCAACATTCTTCTGTGTCCGAACTGAAACGCTTTATTTTGAAGCTTTGGGAGAGGCAAAAGTAAAGACAGCTTGTTGTACACAATCAGATGAAGAGGTTTTGTAAATAAAAAAACGTTAATTTTTTTTCCCCTCTTGCAGATCCCCATCTGTTTCTGAGTTTGTGGCTTCCTGCAATTTTGCAAATTTGCTACTAAGCTGCCAAA